AAAAATATTTATTTCATCGAAAAGAAATAAACAATCAAACTAACATATCAAGTGCATCTGCTAATAAACTTGGATTAATATCAAAATTAAAATTCGTATGATCATCACTTGTAAAAGCATTTGAACAACCACCATTTCCTACTATTAATTTTGAATATTCATTTTCATCTGGATACTAAAAATTTTATAAAATAGTTCATTGAAATTAGAAGTCTTCTATGCTTAGAAGAGGTTTTGGATCACATCAAATCATTTACAGATGTTCCTAAAAGGAACTGTCTTTAATCAAAATGATCTTCTCCTGTAAATTTAGCTGTTATCAGGATAACAAGCTTACAATGATCCAGTATACAGCCTTTTCCCTCTTTCTCTCATTTCTGTCCGACACTCATGTAGTGTTCTACCTTTCCTCTTTTTTCTGTTATATCAAAAACGAAAGCGCGACTATGAATTTTCTTCAAACCTTACGTTTATTGCGAATCTAATACTTCTCCTAGAGAAATTCTGCATTAAATAGGATAAATATACTATTGGAACCGACAAGCAATTCTTATAAAAGCAAACTTATTTGAATTGAAACTTGACTTCGAATGTGGTTTATACTTATCGAAATAGTAGAACAAACAAATTGTGCAATCAAAAGTGGCTATGGATAGAATGATCTCAGCATCAATAAATCTATATGCAACAGACTAGTACATTGCCGGCATAACATCGGCAATCGTTATGACTTATGATCGGAACGAAGAAGTAAAGTCGTAGATTCGTCTATGCAATAGAAGCCAAATTCGAGAGTCGACTGTCTCTCAAAAGAAGGAATTCAAGTCGAGTAGATCCTTTTTGAGCAAAATCTTTTGTTAGACCTAGTTGTATGTCAAATACATATACACTTACTTCAGGCAGAATCCATGTCGAGAAGTTTTACTTTATCTTTTTTTATTTTCAGTTACTCTTCATTGATAGTGATATCATGACAACTGTATTCGTTGCAAAAAAAGAACTTTACATTATAGAATACAGAAGAAAATTCTTGCAATCACAATTGTAAACAAACTACTTACTTTTGAACTACCCATAAAAAGCATATGTTCAAGAAAATGAGCAATGCCAGGAATATCTTTTGGATCAGCTAAACTACCAATCGTTACATCAAGAGCAGCAGCAGCTTTATCAATATTTGGATGACTTATAAGTAAAACAAGCATCTCATTTGAAAGTTCTAGACCACGATAATTCCATGAATCACTAGCACTTTTTCTGATGTTCTCAACAATACCAACGATTGTTGAATCCGATGATGAAAGTCGTTGTTCAGATTCCATAGTCATTAAATGAAATTATCAAATGAATAAGCAAGTTATACTAGCAGCAAAGACCTAGAATGAAAGTAAACAATTGACAATAGCCAAAAAAAACAGTAATATCCAACGACTATCTCAATTGCTAAGCCAATCATAATCTTTTGTAATTAATGAGAAAGTACTGCTATAGTATCAATACGGTTTATTTTTCTTTATGCAAGCATTTATCATCCAACTCTATAATTTTTGAATAAAATTGGACATTTTTTTTTCATCTGTCAAAGATAGGTTCTTCTCAAAGTTTATGACAATGGAAGTTAGATTATTTTATTATATTGAACTTTTGAAAGCGAGCAAGAGAAGATAGAGAGCAAAACTGAAATCCTCTTATGAAAAACTTTTCGTGGTTAAAAAGAGTGTTTCTAAAAAGTGAGAACACATGCAATTCATATTTAATCTCAATATATATTCGATAGTGCCTGGAAAATTCATAAGTTTTCACAATTATAAGATTGATTGCTCATAAAATATATATAGTAGTCATCAAAATAGTCTACCTTTCGACATCTAGTTCCATGTACCATAAATCTAATTCCGTCTGTCATAAAGTAGAACTTACTACCATAAAGATAGCCTTGTCTACTGTAAAATAGGTCCCACGATCATAAACATAGTTGTTTTTACTACAAAATAATTCCAGAAGCGCATCTTTCAGCTCAAACGGAATAATCTACCGAATAGATGAAATATAATAATAGTTTCAGTAATTTCTAGAAGTTCTGCTTATAGAAGAAAGAAGGGAAATCTAAAGTACATTTCTGTTGAATGAATAGTTCAACATGAGATTATTTCATTTCTGTTTGTTGATGTTCAAATCTCAGGAGACACCATTTAGGGATCTTTAATACGATAAAACTTAATATTCTACGACATATTTTTAAAAATCTCATCTACTCATATAAACATTCTTTTTCGATTACTAATACAAGTTGTGCTTAGTTAATCCTTGTGCAAGTGGAAGTTTTACTTTTACGTAGATTTACTGGATAGTATCATATTTTCGTATTATTGCACTAAGAATTAAATGTTTAATAAATTCTTAGAATCAGATAAGATTATTATTATTAAAATAATAAAAATAATCGAAAAATGATTTTCTGTTTATTCAATCTAAAGTAATATATGTTTATCAAAGAACTTATCCTTGTATTATCTGCTCATCCATAAATGAAACAGAAAAAAAAAGAAGACAAACAAGGTTGATCGACTGAGAAGACGGTATAGATATTTGAAAACAGATAAATACTGTGGCCTGTGTTCTCTTGATGTTTTTCGTTGCTCGACAAACAGACAAAATGCCAGCAACATATGCACTCAATTACTGAGGACGACACCTACTAGAAGCTCGACGAACAGCAGAAATGAAACAACAACAAGATATCCGTTAATTCATATGGATTAGAATTTTTTTTCTGCTTTCTGTTGCTATCTTTGATGAAAGATATACATACGAAAGATAGAAGGAAACAAATGTTGGATATCGGTACCCGTTTTCTTTTGGTATCGTATATTTCCTCTTCTTTTTTTCTTCCTATGTTACTTACATACATACATGCAAGTGGGATGTAAATGTAAAATCAATGGCTAATTTCTTTTTTTTTCTCTTCATACCCATTAATGATTGTAATAGATTTAGATGGAAACAATCATAACGCCCATTCCCATATATTAGTGACATGAATACTAATGTTGCGCATTTTTCTTTTCTCTGCTGATGAGGGTGTGGGTGTGGGTGTGTGGGTGTATGAGGAGAAAACACCTACACCTACACCTACACCTACACCTACACCCACCCACACCCACACCCACACCCACACCCACACCCACACTCTAAGAATCTATTCAATAATAATGTTAATTAAGAAGCGAATTCACAATTAATACGAATAATTTTGCAATTGATACAGAGGAACATAACTGATATGAACATCAGGGCCAGTACAATGGGCACCAACTAGTGCAGGATGTTAGAGTCGATATGGAGCATATAAAAAAACAGAGTAGTTACGATTGGTAGTTGTTATTTTTTTCCATAAAGATTGCTCTGACGTATATACCGGGTGTTCCAAAAGTTTTGCAACATTTTGTATTTTGCATATATCTCGGCATAGGTAAATGATAGAACCTTGATTTTTTTTTAAAAGATGCGCCTTGAAAAGCTCTACAAAAACTGTAAGAACAAATCCCTATTGACTTGTTCTGATGATGTCTCCTATACTTAAAATGAATAGGTCAGATGATGGTCCTATGTCCCATGGTATTAAGTATTTGGAAGACTATTTTTGTTT